CTCGGCGCCCGCGGCGGGCCTCCTCTCTCCCCTCCTCCTTCAAGGAGGTCCTCCTCCCCCGTTTCGGCGGCAGCTCCTGGGATCCTCCCGTACCATCTTGTCGGCTCTTGCGAATCGACGCTAATCGACGCTTGCCGACGCTGATCGACGCTAGGTCGACGCTGATCGACGCTAGCCGACGCTAAAGCGGCGCTACCTCATCGGCTCCCAGACGCTAATCGACGCTGAAGACAGAATTGCTCTGGTACACGAGGCTCCCATGATTTGCTACTGAACTCCTCGCCCCTCTCCCGCTCCTCCTCCAGCTGCTGCAGTTGGCTACAGAGTCGACAGCGACGCAAACATCCCCCCCCAGCGGCCTTCGCCACCGGGGGAGGTTGATCAAACTAGAATCTCGCTGTGCCTGCCAGGATACCGTCTTCACCACATGCCTCTCCCCTCCTACCCCTCCTCGCACTCCCGAGCGGCGTGCGGATAGGCGCCGTGCAGCCCTTGTGCGCGGGGCCGCCAGCAGCGAAGGGCCAGCAGCGGTGGCGTTTGCGCTGTGGCACTCGGGTGGATATGCTGCCTCCTCCTCCTCCTCCTCCTCCTCTTTCTCCTCGTTCCTGCTCCCCTCCGCTCGTCCCCGCGGGCCATGGCGGACTCGAGGCCAGACGCGTGCATCGTGGAAGGCTTTTTCTCCTCGGCTTCCTTTAGGTCGCTGATGGAGAGCGTATGGCACGGTGCTCAAGGTTTTGTTTCTTCTTCAATGCAATTTTGAAGGGAGGGAACGGAGAGGACAGCACCACGAGAGGACAGTGCCACGATCGGACACCACGAGATGACAGCACAACGAGATGGCAGCAACACGAATAGCTTTACCGCCTTGCCGCCTTGCTGACAGCTGGGGCCCCGCACTGCGTGCAGAGAGGGACAGGCGTTTCAGACTCGACCGTGGTCGTCACCCGCACGGGGCGTCCCTCGCCTCCCTCTCCTCGTCCTCGTCCTCGTTCCGGTCGTCGTCGTCGTCGTCGTGGTCGTCGTGGTCGTCGTGGTCGTGGTCGTCGTCCTCGTCGCCGTCGCAGTCGCCGTCGCCGTAGCCGTCGCCGTCGCCGTCGTCGTCCTCCTCCTCCTTTTCCTCCTCGTCCCTCCGATCATGGATCCCCCTGGACGGGGTGCAACAGAGTGCACCCCGCACACACCCACACTCACACACTCACACACGCGCACACACGCACACACGCACACACGCACACACGCACACACGCACACACGCATACCCGCACACGCGCACACGCGCACACGCGAACATGCGCACACACATGCGCACACACACGCGCACACACACACACACGCGCACACATGCGCACACGCGCGCACGCGCGCAAGGGCGCACACGCGCGCACACGCGAGCACACGCGCACACACGCGCACACAGGCGCACACACGCGCACACACGCGCAAACACACACGCGCACACACACGCGCACACACACACACACGCGCACACACACGCGCACACACACACGCGCACACACACGCGCACACTTACGCACACACACACACACGCACACACACACACGCACACACACGCGCGCACACACGCGCACACACACACGCACACACTCACACACTCACACACTCACACACAGACATACACGCACACTTACGCGCACACACACACACACACACGCGCACATATACACACACGCACACACAACGCGCACACACACCACGCACACACACACACCACGCACACACACCACGCACACACAACGCACACACACACAACGCACACACACAACGCACACACAACGCGCACACACAACGAACACAGGCACCCCGCACACAGACACCGCACACAGACACCGCACACAGACCCCGCACACAGACACGCACAAAGACACACACAGACACACACAGACACACACACAGACACACACACAGACACACACACACACACAAAAAGACACACAACAAGACACACACACACAACACGACACACACACACACACACTACAGGACGCACACACAGCAAGACACCCAAATCAAGGCACACACAACAAGACACACACCACAAGACACAGACCACACGACACAGAGCATAAGGCACATAACCCAAGGCACAAAACACACGACACATAACACAAGCCACATAACACAAGGCACATAACGCAATACACAAACACCAGACACATATCAAAGACACATAACCAAAGCCACATAACACAAGCCACTTAACATAAGACACATAACACAAGACACATAGCACAAGACATATAACACAAGACACATAACACAAGACAGAGAACACAGGACACAGAACACAGGACACATAACACAAGGCACACACCACAGGACACAGAACACGGGCCACAGGACACAGGACTCAGAACACAGGACGCAGAACACAGGACACAGAACACAGGACACAGCACACAGGACACAGAACACAGGCCACAGACCACAGGACACAGAACACAGGACAGAGAACACAGGACACAGAACACAAGACACAGCACACAGGACGCGGCACCCAGGACACAGCACACACGACACAGCACACACCACACAGCACACACAACACAGCACACACCACACAGCACACACAGCTCACCACACACACAGCACACACAGCAACCACAGCACACAGAGCACACAGAGCACACACAGCACACAGAGCACACAACACACACAGCACACAGTACACACAGCACGCACAGCACACACAGCACACAACACACAGAGCACACATCACACACAGCACATAGCACACAGCACACAGCACACACCACACAACACACATGCACAACACACAGCACACAACAAACAGCACACAACACGCAGCACACAGCACACAACACACAGCACACAACGCACAACAGACAACCCACAACACCCAACACCCATCACACAAAACGCAACACGTACCACACAGCACACTCAACACAGCACACAGCACATTGCACACAGCACACACCACACAGCACACACAGCACACCACACACACAGCACACACAACACACAGCACATAGCACATGACACATAACACATAATACATAACACACACACAACACACAGCACGCACAACACACAACACACAAAAAACACAACACATACAACACACAACACACAGCACGGAGCACAGAGCACAGAGCACAGGACACAGAACACAGAACACACACCACACACATCACACAAACAACACACACACATGTTCCATGCTGCTGTGGCACTTCGCACTCGTTGCTTCTGTGTGCGTGCCGTCGGCGGCGCAAGGCTGCTTGAGTGCGCCTGTGTGCCTTGCGCTGGGATTGTCAGGGTGGGCCAGGGGCTCCACAGCACTCAAAAGCATTGGCCCAGCGCGGCCAATAAGCTGGGAAGGAGGAAGGATGAGGATGAGGATGAGGATGAGGATTCGGAGGAGAAGGAGAGGAGGAGGAGAAGGAGAGGAGGAGGAGGAGGAGGAGGAGGAGGAGGAGGAAGAGGAGGAGCAGGAGGAAGAGGAGGAGGAGGAGGAGGAGGAGGAGGAGGAGGAGGAGGTGGCCCGCGCCGCCCTGTCTTCGCCTCGTCGCCGCCCGTCGTCTGGGCCTGCGGGTTGGTCTGGCGGCTATACTGTCGCCGTCGCTGCCTCGTCGCTGTCAGTCGTTTGGGCCTGTGCGTCGGTCTGGCGGCAATGTTGTTGCCGTCGCCGCCCCGTCGCAACCTCGTCGCCGCCCGTCGTCTGGGCCCTTGCGTCGGTCTGGCGGCTGTGTTGTCGCCGTCGCCGCCTCGTCGCCGCCCTTTTGCAGCCTCGCATACTTGCACCACACAGATTGTGCCACATGGATTATCCTGTATAAGAAATAACTCGAATCTACTACCATCCCCTCATACTTATCGATCCACCCAACATATGTGCACATTACATACTATTTTGCCCCATCGTTCATTTTAAAATAAGTTTTTACCGTCCAGCTCGGCCGGGTTAGCCCCCACCACCCTCGTCAAGTAATTCTATGCGCGCGCTCCCGTTTAACGAAAAAACAACAGTTGGCAGGACTCTTTTGCAACATCGGAAACGAAACGCACACGCGCGCGTCTTTGCGCGCGCATGCCGACATCCTTTAAGATTCAAGAGAGTTTCAAAATCGACTGTCCCCAAACATACTAGAACGCGTGGTTTTACAACATGGGTTTTCAAATCGGTTTGCGCGCGCGCTCTTGCGACTTTTTTACTCAAATGCGACCAAGCGGGCTTCTCCCGGGCGCATGCCCAAATCATTCGAACGCCCTTGCGCGCGTGGTGGTGGCGGTGTTGGGGGGGCGCGATCCGCGTGCATCATGCGGCCACTCGCGCCCGTTGGCTGCGCGCGCGCGTCGAAATTCTCTTAGAACCTTTATCTCCGACGCGTGGACACCTTCATCGTCATCACCGTGGTTGTCGACGTCGCCATGGTACCGCGCCCGCGCGAGTCACCGACTCGCACTGAAGTGCCCGCGCGTCATCGCGGCCTGCGGGACGCGCCGGGGAGCGCCCAGCGGTCAGCACCGCCGCGGCCGCGTCGGTCGCGCCAGACTAGCTGGCCGCTATGCGCGCGAGCTTGCGCGCGCAAGCGCGGCCGCAGCTATGCGCCAACCAGCTCCAGGCAGTCATCGCAATCGCCGGCGCATGGGTTTTGCAAACCAAGTTGCGGGTGGGTGGGTGGGGCGATTGCGCGAGTAGCGGACTTGACAATTTCAAGCTCGGCAGGGTAAGTTGCGCCGCGTAGGTTCTCAGAGGCAGGGGTTACCCATTCACCCGGGGGACGTGCAGATTACATGCGATTCTCCCCGATGGTTCAACCTAGATCTGAGCGAGTGCCATCCCAGCCATGCACGGCTCTACCCCCCTCATGCTCGTCAAATGATGCGAGGCGCGCGCTAGTTTGTCCACAGTGGTTCATGCGCAAGAACCCCTCGCCACACATGTGACAAAATCAGCGCGCGCGCGTTGCCGCGCGCGCAAGAACCAATCAAAAACGCATGGTGCAATCCGTGTC